AATTTAAATTATATTAAATTATAAAATTAATACCCTTAAATAATAATAAAAAAAACTTGCATCAAAGAGTCCTCTCTCAATCCTAAAATTATTATTTTATAATTTAATATACTCTAAACTACAAAACAATTTTTTTGTTTTTTCTTTAAACAAAATAACAAGAGTTGAACTTCATGCAGATAAAACAACTTTTAAACGTGGATTTACCCTTGGTGGTTTCTTAAAACCCTAAAATAATAATAAAAAAAAAAACTTGCACCAAAGAGTCCTTTCTCAATCCTAAAATTATTATTTTATAATTTAATATACTCTAAACTACAAAACAATTTTTTTGTTTTTTCTTTAAACAAAATAACAAGAGAAAGCAGTGTGGGGGTGGGAAGTGGGGGAGCAGATATCTCGGGTGAGTTGTACCATCGGGTGAAGGTGGCTTCTGCTGTACCAACAGCCATTCAGTACAGAGCTGGGTCAGCGTGGCAGCAGAAGTAACAAGTTCGAAATGGGCTGAGAGTTACTGTATATAAATGCAGTGATATTATTATCACATTTTTAATTATTAATATTATATTTTTTATTTTAATTAATTATTATATTATTTAATTTATTAAAAAATAAAAAATATAATATTTTAAAAAATATATAATGTAAAACTATAATAAATAATTATATTAAAAAATATAATATTAATTATTTAAAGTATAACAATAATCTCATCACATGTAAAAGCAAACAAAAAAAAATTTCCCCATAGCATTTAACACTGCCAACAAAATATCGGAAATGCATTTTACAATCAGATTAGTTTCATGTCATTAAAATTAGGGTTAATAAGTATTTCTTCTAAAATCATTTACTCTGGTTGCTTATGATAGAAATATAGAGGGATGCCACTTGTTTTGCTTAAAATAAAAAGAAAATATTTCTATCAACCTTTACTTCTTCAAAGCATAAAACCTAGGAACTTATTTTAAAATTAATAGAAGAATACTATTTGATTGAATGTTTACACTAACAATATCTTAACCAAACCATTGTAACAGAAAATAGGGGTGCATTCTTAATTGAAAATTCAAAAATAACTATCTTGAAAGAACATTATAAATTTTCTATATCTAAGGTCACAATCAAGTTAGTTTGTTAATTAAAATATTCAAAAATAAAAAAGAATATTAAACTATTGAGTGCCAGAAATCCTAAAACATAACTAGAAATCGACTTTAGAGTGCAACCTGTCAAAGTTACCTACTGACCAAATGAGATAAAGATTGTTGGAAAAAATAACGTAGACGACAATGACACAAACCGAAAATTAATTATCTAGCAGAACTTAAACATAAAAATATATACTAGTTACGTAAAGAACTAGCAATTGACAAAAGTGAATCGAAAATAACATCTTGAGTTGAAAGCTAAAGAAGAATTACAACTAAAGGCATGAACATAAATTTCACTAACAAAGCCAAAACTAAAGTTTGAAAACTAGATAGGTGACAAAACTCAAGCTAAAGAAGAATTACAACTAAAGGCATGAACATAAATTTCACTAACAAAGCCAAAACTAAAGTTTGAAAACTAGATAGGTGACAAAAGAAGAACAACTGTATTAAATTTAACTACTGATAGTAACTTAACCCAAAATAACAAAAATAAAGAACTTATTGAGGGAGTTGAATCTCTTTTACACTAATAAGAAGTTACAGAGTCATTGTAGGAGTTATCCATAAACTAAACTAATGCTGAGTTAAAATATATTAAAGTGTTGATGTTGTTGAAAGGGGTATGCCTTCTAAACTTTGTCTTGAAATCTTATATTTATTGATCTCCATAACTAAATTTGATCACTAGAAATTTGATATGATCATGATTTTCTCTAACTTCTCCATTGTCATGCTTAACTAAATCAAATAACATCTAAACAAATTTGAATCTTTCCTTACAAAATGGAATTTTTACATGCCATTTTAGTTGCGATAAATAAAATTTTGGTTGTCAAAAATCTAAAAAATCAGGTTTGTTGAAACCATTTCTGATTTTTCTTAACAAAATTGAATTATTTACTACGTCAGTAATTTTCTTAATTTTGTGAAACAACTATTCTTGCTTTTACCACATGGTAGAAATTCATTACACTAGAAATTCTTTTTATTGTGAATTGCATACACCAAATCATGGTCATTGATCATTCATGGAATTCTAATTGTGGGGAAAAAAATTATGGCAGTTGGATCTCAATTGTGAACATGTGGCATCATCAAGAAAATTGTCAAATTTGCTGTAAATAGAAATAAATCCTACTTATCATGAAACTCAAGTATTTATAATTCACAAACTATGAAACACAAACATCTTCATGGCTAGTGGTTGAGCAATCTTATATGAGCTTTATTATTATTATTGTTGTTGTTGTTATTTAAGTATTTACCTTTTATGATCGCTGGAGTTTAAATTTTGTTTGAAAGAGAAATTTGGGAAGTGTTATCGCAAAAAGGGTATATTTACTCCTTTATTTTGATGATTATTGAAATGAATCTCACTATTTTTGTAGTGATTATAGAAGAGTTATTTGGAAAATTTTATGGCAAAAAGACAAATTGATGACTTATTGTTACATCATCTACTAAATTTTGATTAATTTATTTCAACCAAAGTATTCGTGAGTTTATTTCTTTCAACCTGAAAAAAGAAAGGAAGATTTATTTTTAAAAAAAATATAAGAATTTATTTTAATAATCACTAAAACTAAAAGTGTAAATATACTCATTTCAACAAGTTTTATTGGAAAGTTATCAACATATAAGGAAATTCTTGTTGAAATTATTAATTTCTTAATATTTTTGTATGAAAATAGGCAAATTGCCAAATTAAATCTTTAAAATAATTTGTTTAATTGTTAATTTTGGTTTTGAATTTAAATTTTTGCATTTTTTTGGTCCTTCCACTAATTTGGTCCTTAAACTAATAACAAAAATCTCTATTAAGAATAAAAAAAAAGTGTTTAAATTAATATAGGGAATGACACTTTTTACATTCATCAAATAGGTCAAAGACAAAAAAAAAAAAA